TATGTGGACAATAACATGGTATCAACAGACCCTTTCATTATAGGTACGGCTAAGATTTTGTCATGGTTATTTTTAGTACAAAAGTCACGGACAGGTCACAGGCAATAAACAAAAATTCACGGAAGCAGTGACCTGTCTGTGATTTTTGCTGCTACGGCTCCATGGTTTCCCCCACCACCCTGGTGGCTGGGAGCTGTGGGGTTCCCCTTCCACCCGCAGCAGCTGGAAGCTGCAAGGAGGGTCCCCCTCCACCCACGGTGGCTGGGAGCTACAGGGTGACCATATTTCCCAAAGAGAAAATGGGACAACCCCAACCGCTCACCTCAGGCATCCTCCCACCCTGTGTGAGGCTTTCGCCTGTTGCTGGAACCCTGAGGAGGCCCCCTCAGAAATCTGTCACCAGTTGCTGGAACCTTGCAGGGGGCCCCCTATCACTGCCAGGGCCCCCGCTGGCTGCCAGCTCCAGAGTCCCGCAGCCCCTAGGGCTGAAGCAGAGAATGTCACAGAGGTCTTTGGAAGTCACGGACATGGCTTCCGTGACCTCCATGACATAAACGTAGCCTTAACTGTAGGATTAAAGTATCCGAGGGGTAGCCGTGTTAGTCTGGATCTGTAAAAAGCAACAGAGGGTCCTGTGGCACCTTTAAGACTAACAGATGTATTGGAGCATAAGCTTTCGTGGGTGAATACCCACTTCGTCAGACGTATTCACCCACGAAAGCTTATGCTCCAATACATCTGTTAGTCTTAAAGGTGCCACAGGACTCGCTGTTGCTTTTTGTAGGATTAAAGACTTCCTAATAATATAGACTAAGATTTTCAAAGGAATCTAAGGGAGTTAGGCAGCAATTCTCATTGAATTTCAAAAGGAGTTATATGCCTAACTTTTAGCCCTCTTAAAAAATACCAGTCCTAGTTCTTGAACAGCTCATGAGAACTTTTGGACAGACAATATTGACTCTTATGTTGTTTTTGTGTTCAGACAATACAAAGGTTATTGTTCTAACGCAGAACTTTGGGAGGTTCTTGGGTGTTAAATGAAAGCTTTCTCCATTTGGAACGAATTCCCAGTGGATGATACAAGAACACATTTAGGATGTATGGCATTCACACAACATTACACTGTTCCAGGGCAGTTTAGTAGTGACTAATATAAGCTAAAACGCTGCTGAGAAGCAGGAGGCCTAAGTTCAACTCCTGAAGCTGCCACTCTCTTCCTGCACAACCCTGGGCAAGTCGCTTAACCTCTCTGTGCCTCAGTTCTTCAAATGGGGATAATACTTCCCTACCTCGCTGGGGTGTTGAGTATAAACCCATAAATATGTGGAAGATATAAAGACTGCATGGTGCTGGTGTAATATAAACACCTAGACAGAGAGAGAAAAACAAAACAAACCCCCCCTCTAAACGTGGAAAAACAATGAAATATTGAGTAAAACACACAAAGCATGAAAAAGGAAAGGAAACGTTGAAGCTCCAATACAGTGCAAATGTCAAGGCTAGCATAGCTAATGCTAGTCCCTGATTACCTATTGATTTAAAATAGAGAAAAGAAGTAAATAAAAAAATTCTAGTGGTTCATAAACGCGGGTAATTTATTTCTACTCGAAACCTGAAATGCTTTTCCAGTCACATATGCATAGACAGCTGACACACAGTGTCAAACAACCGGTTACATTTTTGCAGCAATACAGCAGCCACACTTTTTCTTCCACCCTTCAGGGAAACAATGGTTGCTGAAGATGTGCCAATGGGTCAGATATAATTTGAGCAGCAGTGAACTAAGATTGCTTGCCAGCTTGCAAACAGTGCAGGCTCTCAGACCATTAACTTTATTTCAGCTGGCCCAATAAATCAGCACTAGACACTAGGAGGGAAATGTCCAAAGCTGTGCGTAATGGGTTGAAAGTCAAAACGTCCATGATGTTAACCACTGCTGAATGTCTAACTCACCATGCGTGGTGTTCAAAAGCCAATTCCTATAATAAACAGCAGCAACCCAATCCTGCAGTCATTTACTCCAGCAAAAACCCCATTGACTTCAGTTGGATTTGCGTCTAAGTAAGAACTGCAGCATCCCGCCCAAAAGCAGCAGAAGGTGCATCTCTTTGGATTGCTAAAGCAAATGAAAGTTAGTGATTCTGGGACTACTGTAGCAGCTGGCACCAGTTCAATCAACGAGCATGTTTTCTCTCTCCACAGAGAGCAACTTTGTCTTCACCTGTGAAAGTTAGAAAAGTTTCCATTGTGCCAGTTCTTCAGTACCTGTCTTTTTTTTTTTGCCACCTGATCAGGAGCATCTTCTAGATCGGGGTCGGCAGCCTCTGGCACGCGGCTCGCCGGGGTAAGCACCCTGGCGGGCCGGGCTGGTTTGTTTACCTGCCGCGTCGGCTGGTTCGGCCGATCGTGGCTCCCACTGGCCGCGGTTCGCCGTCCCGGGCCAATGGGGGCTGCGGGAAGCGGCGCGGGCCAAGGGATGTGCTGGCTGCCGCTTCCCGCCACCCCCATTGGCCCGGGACGGCGAACCGCAGCCAGTGGGAGCCGCGATCGGCCGGACCTGCCGACGCGGCAGGTAAACAAACCGGCCCGGCCCGCCAGGGGGCTTACCCCGGCGAGCCACGTGCCAGAGGTTGCCGACCCCTGTTCTAGATAGACAAAAGAAGATGTCTGTTTATCTGCCCATTTGTAGTGAGCTCATTGCCAGAATATCTGGTTAATTTATCCCATTGCCCCAAGTTACATCCCCTTGTAAAGTGCTAAATAATTCTGCTCGTTTCTCTCTGGTCTCTTCAACAGCTAAGATGTGTCCTAATCACTGAGCACAGCTGGCAACAGGCTCCTAGCTGGAACTACTAGAATTTTCAGTGATAGGATTGCTGCTGCCAGAAACCCTTTTGCATTTGCATTATAAATTTGATTTGATGTCATGCCATGCTCACCGATAGAATTTTTCAAGTTATCCCTGATATTCATCAATACAGTAGTATTCCTGGAAACGCTTAATCTAGCTGCTTGCCTAAATGTTGGATGTTCCAGCATGGGGCCTTTGATTATGAGAGGGGCAAGAGAAGCCTTTTCCCCCTCCGCTCTTGTGCCAGTAGAGTCTCTTTATCAGAACGCAATCTTTTGTGACTCCGCAATGCTTTCTTGCCTAAATCAGAGCTCACGGTAGTGCTGCTTTGAACTCCTCTGTAGAACTTGCTTGTACAAAGCTTGATGCTTCTTCAAGAGATCTGCTGCTTTAATGCTCATTCACCTTGTCCCTTTTTCACCCACATGCTTTTATGTTTGCTCAGATCGCTCCACCTTGCCCTTCTTCATATTGCTGATGATTTGTGGGAAACGTTTCTCCCCCTCTCTTTCACATCTATGTGTTATCACCAGGCTGTGTAACTGAGGCACTCACTGCGTGCTCTTTAAAGTCTGGTGTCGCATGGCACAATGACATTGCAACAGTAAGTCAGTGTAAGTAGCAAACCATGGGCAAAACTGTAAGTCACTGAAAACCGCTTTTGTGAACGCATTCTTATATTCCGAGCTTGCTGGTCTTAATGGTAAAATCAAATCATCTAGACCAATGAGACAAAATGACAAACAACACTGTGCAAAGTGCACTTCTGCTGCTTGTTGTGACTTTAGAAATAGCAGATACAGGCTCAGGAAAAATAAGGGGACAGAAGGCGAGTCTATTATTGGAGCCCTGTGCTGCATTACTGTCATGGAGAAGGTGCAGCAGAGGTCAAATGGAATAATCCACAGAAATGAGAAGCTCATCTATATTCAGAAATGTCAAAGAAACTGGGCCTGAATTCTCTGGGAAAGAGGAGATTAAAAGGGGTCTAACGGTATTCCCTTCAGAATTTTGTGTAATAGATGTAACGAGGCTTACTGAGCCTCCATTAATGTGGAGCACAAGGAAAACGGGGCAAGGACTTTAACTCTAAAAGCCGGATTTACAGCCAGGCCTCAACATGATCTATTCTTGTGGGTAATAAATATTGTACTCACAAGTAATTGTGCCCACAGTTTTGCACCTGCAATGAATTGTGCATGCAAATAGTAGCATTTCGAGGTCCAGCTACATGTTTTTCAGGCAAAATGGTTTCAACAGAACAGCTCAGAGTAAGGTGCTACTCAGTGAGAGTAAGGATGGGAGAATTAGGCTGTAACTATGGATACGCCTGCATGGAGGGAGAGGGGGGAAGGGTTACTATGCACTAGCTGAGTTTCTGTGCATTGAAATGACTTATATATACCTGATGCAAACCCTTAAAGCATAACTCCACAGTTAAAGTGTAGTCTTTTTTATGCTCTAAAATTCTGATAACACCACTATGAGATAGGCAAGTACTACCCCATTTTACAGAGGGAGAAACTGAGGCTGGCCTCTTCAGTAAATGGCACAAGGCCGCAAACAGTCAAACTAGAACTCAGGATTAGGTCTCAGGAGCTCCAGATACCCTGCCCTCTGCCCACCCCTGTGTCTGTTCTAGAGTGCCTTTGTTTTATACCTATGGGTATGTCTACACTACAATCACAGGCTCTGTGATTATCCAGGGTTCTGGCAGGCTTGTGAAGCCCATGCTGAAACCTGTGCCTGCCACCCTGTGCTCCTCCCGTTCCCAAGCGCGCTAGGTCAAAGCTAGCTCGGGTATGTTTGTACACCTTGCAGTTGCACCCTGTGGTTGCAGTGTAGACATGCCCTGTGTCCTTAAGTACTTAGTGCTGCCTGCTTGATGTCCTAGATCCACACTCTTTCCGCAGAGTCACATCCATGCAGCTAGCTTTGATTTCACGGCGTTTTCACAGGATGGAAAGGAGGACAGAATTTGGGCTACCGTTATCACAGCAGTGACCGTTTCAGCCCAAGGCAGACTATAAACTCTGTTTGCAAATGGGATGTTCTAGCCTCTGAAAAATAGCCTCCAAATGAACCTGCTGGACCTTAAAATCCCTGGCCATATGCATGCGCCTAGGTTATGCAAATATAGCAATCATACCTCTTATTGGAGGTGACAGGTATCCTCCAGCCCTTGATCTGGCTAAGTTCTGTATCCGAGATCTCTATCTGCAAAGGAAGCCGTGGAGCCCAGACCGTCACTTCCAGCTGGGTGGTAAAATGCTGGTAAGTAAAGTTCACAATGGTATCCACTTTGCTCTTCATTTCCTTGCCATTAACAAAGATGGAGTCGCATCTGCCAGAAACCTTTAAAACAAATCCCAAGATTAATTACAAAACGGATGAAAGTTCAGGAAGACGCAGAGGGAATGATACATTGGCACAAAGACATTGCTAATAACGGGAGTGATGCATACTGTGTCTTGAGCTTTTGAATTAGTAGCAAACAGTGATAAATGGACCCCAGGGAAACAATTCTGCATTCCTTAATGGATACTATTTAAATTACAAATATAATTCAGTGCTGTTATATCACCTGTGTTAGTCTTTTATACTGGACAAATTAAATTCTCCATGAATCAAACTTCATGTGCATCAAATTTTGTTTACAGCTTGCTTAAAAATCCAGAAAAAGGGGGCATATGTTAATAAGAAAAAAAGACTCTCAGACCCATAAAAAAGAATCCTTCTCTTTTCATATGAGTACTGTACGGTTCAGTGCCAAAGTCCACCTTGTGGTCCATAATATGCATTCAGAACTTCAGTCTAACTATTAATTCTAGAACTTCTAAGAGGAGTTTCACCAAAATAAATATAGAGCTGATGTACTCTCATGATGTTTGTTACACAAAATACTTCCAGGACAAGTACTATATGGAAGCAAACAAGAACCTAAGCCCCATCCTTCAACTGAAGTCATATGGATCACCCTCACAGAGCCCTATTGGCTTCAGGGCTCCCTTGGCACAGATCCGGACGCACGATTGAGCCCCTGAATTATAAACTCTTATCCTGTAACAATCTTAACCTAGACTAGAAACTCTTTGAGTCAAGGACCGTTGCTTTACAACGTGTGTGTCCAATGGAACCCTGGCCCTGCTGCTGCAAGATAAATAATAATTTGTTTTTTAAAATAAAGGGAAAGATGTGACAGCTGCCAAAGAAGTCAGCATACACTGACCTCTGCCACTTGAGCGGGGCAGTGATCTTTAGTAATCATGACCCACGTCATTCCACTGAGACTGCTAAATAAATATCAGTCTTGCATCAGCACTTCTTTGTGTCACACCATACATTGTGTTGCAACACAGAATAGAAAGTTGAAGAGGGATAGGATTTAGGAATTCAATGTTAGGAACTGAATGAATGTCCGTTGCAACTTGTGCCCAGTATGGATAAAAGGCCAAAAGGCCAGCAACCAGAAAATAAGAGACATGGGATTCTGATGGCAGACCCCGGGTCTATGGGCAAAAGGGAGATCTGAATTCCTTGCAGACTGAGATCCCTCTTTGCCCCCTCTTCTGTTCCCTTTGCAGGGAGGAAGGTGAGAGGTTTCAGCACAGTAAGCAGAATCCTTGGGGTGGGCAATGGAGAGTCTACCCTGAGTTATAGGCTATATGACAGATGCCCTATAAACTGCACACTGGATCCACTTAAATGCCTGGTATGGGGAAGCGTGCAAATAGCACCCCTCTTCCATGTTAAATTTTGGTCAAGTTGCAGCCTGCCACTTAAAACCCATCCTTTTGTCTATCCCCATTCAATTGTGTGTCCTGATCAATCCCAATCAACGGTCTGAAATTACAATGAATGACTTTTTCCAAACGGGCTTTGGCCAAAGTTACCACAGTTTGGCTAACAAAATGCAGCCACTTGTCTGGAAATCACGCTCCTTCCACATCAGTGCCTGGAAAGTAATAGAATAAAAAACAATCATCTAAGCACTTGCTAAGGAACGTAAAATGGACTCCAAGCTCACAGTCACAAGGAGTATCACAAATTAAATCGAACATATTCAAAACCCTTGTCGTTCCCCTCTCACAATGTGTCACAAATGTCTTGAGGCATTTTTAAGCACATTAATCAAGGCCATTAATGGGAAGAGCAGTTGAGATTCTAAATCATAAAGGCTACGTCTAGGGAGCATTGTTCAAATTAACACGAGACAGAAATAATGAAGAAAACTTGAAGAGGGAAGGATAAACATCAAGACCCCATCAGGGGATTAACTACTCTATGATAAGACAGAAATGAATATTTTAGATTGTTTTTTTAGATGCCTAAAATGTTCTTGCATCTCCTTCACTCAGCAGGAAAGGAGCAAAATAAAGGAAGAAGGGGCTGATTTTCATCGTACCTATAAGAAAATCAGTAGGCTTGGTTCGTGGATTTCATAGATGAGGTCTTGAGCTGGCTCTCTGCACAGCAGTGAATTTTGCACCCTCGCTGACACCAAGTGTGGGACTCTAGCCCCGATAGTATTGCCAGAAACCCCACAGGTGGGGAAGGGAGGAGCAAGACGTGCGGGAACCGTGTTGCACCAGGTAAAAGGCATAGTAGATGCAACTGTGCTTTCTTTGCACATCGGAGCCGCCCTCTGCCGTTGTGTGATTTTGAAGGGTTTTGGTTTTTTGTCTTGCATGGCATGGTTTCTTTTGAACTGCTGCTGAATATCCGAGCGATCAGGAAGAGTAAAAGACACTAAAAGAACTGCTGTCTCTCCCATGAATGCTTCATGGTGGGAAGACACCAGAGTGGGTTTGATCTGAAGCTTAAAGCAGCCATCCTCCAATCTAAAATGCACAAAGCAAGCCTATTTTAAAACAGCCCAACACTAGCCATTGTCACCTGCCTGGCAAAGTTAAGAGATGCAATTTTAGAGTGTTTCCTCTATCAAATATTACAACCAGGTGAGCAGGAGGTCTAGCTATCCACCCTGGGATTCAGGTCAAATGAAAGTGAGGTGTAATTAACCTTTCCTGGCGTTGTAGCGGGTGGTTGGCTCCAATCCCCACAAGTAATTCTACAAGGCACAATTTCTTCTGTACAACCTGTCACAGCCTCCACATTTTAGACTAATCAAGTACCAAAGTATCTAGCAATCCAAAAGATTAACTAGGAAGCTGTTTAAAACTCAGGTCACTGAACATTTACTTATCTATTAGGAGAGCAGGCAAAGGGGTAAAAAATGCTAAAATATGATATCAGACACCCCACCCAAAACCCTCCCTTGCGTGATGAATTTTTCCATCTGCAATTGTTTCTTTCTTTAAAAGCCATAACCTGACCCTGAACTTACTTCAACAGCATGCCAGTGATTTAGAAAAGAGGCTGAATTAGATATAGTTAAACAAAGCAAAACAAAATCTATCTGGGCAAAACATGAAAAATTAGACATGAAAATGTGAAGGTTGTTCTCCCAAGTACTGAAGTTTGTAGCTAGGTTATTCAATGTGCAGTGGGGGGGGGGGGAAATGATTTGATTCTCCTTTCACTTAATTTAGAGTAACTCAGCTGGAGCCAGTAATAAAAATAGAAATAAAAATAAAAATGCCTATTTCTTATCTAGTGCTATTCATTCATAGATCTCAAAGCGCTTTGAAAAGGAAGTGAGCATCATTATCCCCCTTTTTTGTAGATGAGGAACCTGAGGCCTGGTCTACACTACGACTTTAATTCGGATTTAGCTGCGTTAATCCGAATTAACCCTTCACCCGTCCACACTACAGAGCCAGTTAATTCGAATTAAAGGGCACTTAAAATCGATTTCTGTACTCCACCTCGACGAGCGGAGTAGCGCCTAAATCGATTTTGTTAATTCGAATTAGGGTTAGTGTGGCCGCACACCACCGAATTACTGTGGTTAAAGTAATGGGGTAGTGTGGCCGCACACCACCGAATTAATGTGGTTAAAAACCGAATTAATGTGCTTAGTGTGGCCGCGCACAATCGAATTTATACAACCTGTTTCCCAAATTCGAATTATCTAAATTCGGATTAATCCTGTAGTGTAGACATACCCTTTGGTACAGAGAGGTGAAGTGACTTGCCCAAGGTCACCCAGCAATCCAGTGGCTGAGGTGGGAATAGAACCCACGTCTCCTAAGTCCCTGTCTGGTGCTGGCCACTAGGCTATGCTGCTTCCCAGTAGAGCTAAAACTTGTGTAAGAGCAGAATCAGGTCCCTAATGGGCTGTAATCTGGGGGTAAACTTCACTCCTGTACAGAGCTGCTTAAGAACTATTTACACTGGCTCTCAAAATAGGGTTTAATTGGTGCACAGGTATTGTGCTGCCCAGGGCGACCCTCGGAGAAGAACTACAAGATTAAGATGAATGAGGCAAATGGAGAAATATATACATCTATGTAACCTGTGCTATTGAACAGCAAAACCCACACCAGTGAAAATCATTGAGTAAGCCATCAGTCTCTCCTTAAACCTCCATTGCATGAAAGAGCGAACTGCAGCCTGACTGCAACCTTTTAAATATTCTGTAAAATAGTTCACCTCGGCCACACGCGCCCAGGCTGGGGAGGTTATAAAAGAGGGGGATAAGAATGACCGATCAAGCACATTATGGCTCTCAGTAAAGGTCAGAGGCGCACTATATTCTGCTGCTTTCCAAAAAAAAAACGTGTGAGGGATGCAAAAATCTCTGGACGTTGGCTGAGGCTGTAAAGAGAACAGTGATGGGACTTTCAATGTGAAAGGCAAATAGAATAAATGACTCATTCTTGTAATAAACTAAAAACTGTAATCTTGTGATGTTTCTTGAATGCCAGCCTTAGCCACTTTTTCCACAGTATTCTTAGAGGCGTTGTCTTTCTTATCCCAGTAGGAAGAATTTGCTGAGCGACTTCAAACACCCTACGTGGTGTGGTTTTTCTGAACGATGCGTTCTCCTGGGTGGCGCTGGCCCAGTTCTAGGACTGCCCCGTCTGAAATGAGCTCCTCGGCTCGAGGAATTTGGCTAGGTGCTTGAGAACTGGGAGGAGGCAAGATGGAAAGAATCTTCCTTTTTTTTTTGCCTCGTCACCAAAGAGCTGGGCTCCATGCCACATAGCAAGTCTGCACTTTCTGAGTCCTTAATTCCTGCCCTTGGGCACCTTCGTTATTCCACTGCTGGAGTGGCCTCTACACCTGTGGAGGTGGGGTGGGATTTGCCCCACAAACCATACATTAAATCCCTCCCTACTCATGCTGTCCTGAACCTCTTTGTTGTCTAGCTGTGCCATGAATGGATTCCCCACCTGCAGCCCCTGCTGGCATAGGGAGGCACAATTTGCACCTTGCTTCACCAGTCATGG